TGTTTAGCCTTGATGTTGAATTTCAGTAGTTAAAAACTACTTTGAAAATGCAACTTTTTGGCTTCAGAGTTGTGTTCAAAATCTTCCTACTGTCTGATTCACGGTTTCTAGAACAGTGCATAAAGAATATTCTCTAAACAGTACTGTTAACTGTTTCTAGTCTTTTTAAATATAAAACAAGGGGTTTTTCCTTTTTAAGCATACAAAACGAGAACGGTATCTCTTCATTTCCTTTTCACTGTTTGCTCACATAATTTCCTCTTAGATTCACTCTTATGTATGAACATTTTCTAAGTTATCTAACTTCACTGTGCTTAGCTCAGTACTTAAAACATTGTAATTGCTATGTAAACACTAGTGAATCCTGATTCACTGAACAGCTTCTATATGCCGAATAATTAAACACAGGGCACAGAGTAGAAACAGCATGAAAAAAACTATCATATGTATATAATGTCAGGAGTATTAAGTATATAAATAAAATTAAAGCAGGGGATGAATAGAATGACAGAGATGCTGTCTTTACATACAGAAGTCAGAATCACCTCCTTGATAAAGACATTTTTGACAAAAAAGTTAAAAAAAAAACAAGAGTAAGAGATTTGGACAGATGGGACAATGAAAACTTCAGGGAGACAGAAGAGAAAGCACCAAGGTCCTGAAGCCAGGAATTGGGGCTGAGGGGTGGGGATAGGGGTGTGTGTGACTGGAACAGATACTACAAAGCAGGAAAAGGTCAGAGAAGCAGCTCAACAGCCTACAGTAGTGGCAAGACCTATACCTGCTAGATCTTTTGGTAAGAAACTTGGATCCTGGGCCTCCCTAGTGACGCAAGGGATTAAAGCACAGCACTGTGAAGCTAGCTGCAGCCACTGCAGCACCCAGGGAGGTGACCCACATGACATAGCAGACCTCTCCTGTCTCACCTGCTGCTCTCCTCAGCAGTATATTTCAGTTAGTCTCCCTGTCTGCTCCCCACTCTGTTTCTGGTGAATCCTTTCACAACCACCCCCCCACCCGGCACCTCTGGCCTGCACCCCAGTTCTTGTATGCATAAATATATAAATCTTTTTTTTTTTTTAAGGAAACTTTAAAAATGAATAAAGTCAGGATGTTAAGTGCCAAGAAATGTTGAAACCACTTTATTTTACAGATGTGGAATTAGAATCTAGAGAGATTAAATGTGTCACCCAGGACCATTTAGCTAGTTAAGTCAAGACAAGGGCCCGGGATGCAAGTTTCCTTAGTTTACAAAAGAGGACATTCCAAATCATGGGTTCTACTGATTCTCAAGAATAGTTGTTAGTGTTCTTCCTTAAGCTACTGCCCTCTTGCCTCTTCTGATTTTAAAATTGTAGCAATACTTCTTTGAAACATGTTCTCATTAGGTTAATATTTGAGAATCATTTCTAAAAATGAGTATTTTTGAAATGTCTACATAGTTCTTTGCCTTTGGAAGTCTATATAAATTACTATTGCCACAATCTACTGACTGGCAGTCTGCACATCTCTGACTGACAGAAATACCACTGACTTCCCGTAATTATTTTGCATGTCAATCTCTTACCAAAATAACACTTAGAGATTACAAACAGTACTTGTCAGATCTGAGAATGGGCTCATCCTGCCGAGGCAGTAATCAGTGACTAACGCAACTTAATATACTGCCTGCCCCAAGCAAAGCAAGACATGATACAGCCGTTCTCAGACAAAGAAGGAGGTAAACCTGGGGGAAATGTGTTCTGTTTAAAGTAAACAGGAGGCTACTAGGATATATTTCCAACTTCTGCATTTTATTAATTCTGTGGAACTCAAAGACATTAAGAAGCAAATGAAGCTTGTTGAGGATAAAGAAGAAACTGCTAAGGACTTTGATTTGTGCCCCCTCTGAGCCAAGTGATGTAGTGACTGTCCTGTCTTGAGAAAGACTCATTTCCTGTTCCTCCAAATCAGGGGTTGTTTCTGAATTTTGGTTCTGGACTGTTCCCATAAATGTAACCCTTCCTCTCCTACCCTGAAGCAGGAGTGCCTGCCAAAGGACCTTGCATTTTCCTCTTGGAGTAGTTGTAAGACATTTTAAGGCCTCCAGGAACTGAAATATATCCTAGTAAGGCACATAGTCGAATAGTGACATTTTAGAAAATTGACCAATGGGCAACCAGACACAGTCAGACTTATACCAGAATCAGCAACAGAGCTTCTTACTAGGTACTAAGTGTGAAAGGAGCTATTTCCCAACCATCCAGTTCATTCTAAGCATATTAGGAAGAGGGAAATTCAACTGAGGGCCAATTCTCCCCTAAGAATCCTTTAGTTTAATTATGACCACAGTAGATTAAACGTCTGTAAGACAATCACGTCAGCTCTGCTGCTCCTGCTCTCAGCAGTGAAGGAAAGAGGGGAGCCCTCTCACTGCTAAAAAGACAAGGAAGGATGCTCTTGTGGTTGTAAAGCAGGGTTGAAATTTCACTTTAAAAGCGACTACCCAGCTACTGTGCTTCTTGTAAATGAACATCTCTTTGCTGCTAATTTTGTGCTATTTTACCTTCCATTAAAAAAAGTAATTCAGGTTAAACTCAGCTGAACAGCAAAAAGCTCTTGATATTTTGAAGCATTTTGGAACAATTACTTTGACAGGAGCCCTTGACAGTTAAATGACTCCCTTAAATGAATGTTATAGAAGACACATAATGACTTTTAGTGAAATATTGAATTTAACCACAAATGAGGAAAACCCAGTCATAAGCATTATGGGTATATTTGAATAATAACATCTTGCTTATGAACCTCAATGGATTCTATAATTTCTAATAATCATGCAATCAACTAGTTAGTTGATGTATGCTTCCTTCTTAGTGTTCTCTATTCATTTTGGAATTTTTGCCTTTGTTGTTGTTTTTTAATCTGAGAGACCAATATGAAAATTTGGAAACTGGTTATAATTTCTTCTTATATCAGTATGATAGTTTACAGTTCGGCAGCTAATGAGTTGCTCCCCAGAATTGAAGTCCTCCCCCCTTTTTTTTTCCTCATTTGCTGAATGAGATTCTTTTACAAAGTAAAATAACAAGCAAAAGGCAAGAGCCTGCTGCCTGGGAATGTGTGAATTTCACTGAGATGGCGGTGTTTCCTCCATCCGTGGGACTCAATATTCCTTTTCTTATTTTATGGATCAAATGTGAGATAGTATCAAGGCTTTTACATGTTTTCTCATGACTAACGACTAAAATATGTACTGAAATAATAAAACTGGTACTGTTCAATTTCCTCTTTTAAATTCAATTCCAATGTAAGTGAGAGTCTCCTTGTGATGGTGAAATCTGGCTTATTCTATTCTGTTTTCTGGAGAAGAAGAGGAGCTAGAAACCTTCATAGACTTAAAACATGTGGGTTTGCAGTGGGTGGGAATGCTGGGATTGAAGAAATGAGTCAGAAAAA